CATATTTCTCATGTGAAAGGTAGAGCAGCGGTTGGAGGAGAGGGATCCTGAAACATGGANCTGACAGTGCTGAAAATCAAACACAGTGTTTAGCTGTGTGGCTTACAGAATCCCAATGTCACTTGAATTCGCAGCGTCTGCATATTTCTCATGTGAAAGGTAGAGCAGCGGTTGGAGGAGAGGGATCCTGAAACATGGAATTGGGACATCTGGTTGGCCTCAATTGAAGCTGGCCATCACGAAGCCCCCAGTCCCTCTGAGCCCCCCCTTCTGGTGAAAGTAGGCTGCTTTCCTGTGTCTTGGGACTGGTGTTTCATTGCTGGAGGACTGTGTCATTACTTCACTTAAGCAGGTGCCTTGCAATAGGACACTCATTGTCCTTGAAATCCTCTGCAACCACAGCCTGTTGCCATGAGACCCAAAACTAGGGTCCAATTACAGCATGCTCCAGTGGAACAGGCATAGAGTAAGGGCAGGATCTTTTTCATCTCTGCCGCTGCACCCCGTGGTGTACTCACATGCTGTACCCGGAGAACTCAGCTGCCAGACTCCATCTGCTCTGGATCTCTGAATCTCTGCATCATTTCCCTTTCCCTTTAGGAGTCTAGGAGGGCCTGGGATGCACACCCCCTCCACCACTCTTACCTTCACCACTGCCCACTATCTTCCCCTCCATACCATCACACATCCGCCACCACCCTTACCTGGACCTCCATCCACTACTACCTTCCCCTCCCTTGTACGCTTATCCCTACACACCGCCATCACACCTCCAACCCCATTTCACCCTAGCGTCCTCTTTCCTCTGGCCATACCTCTGTCCTCCACCGCCGGTCAGCCTGCTGTTAGAAGCAGCGCCCTTGTCCATCTCTTTCCTGGGGACCAGGGTGGCTGCCTAGCCCTCTTCTCAGGAATGCCCGGACTCGCACAACCAGTCCCCCTCCACCCTCAGGCTGGTGGGTAGTTTGCTCGTCTGGTGTTGCCCTCCACACCCAGCTTATCGCCGGCAGCGTTGATTGGCTGAGTCCCAATGAGTGACGGAACAAAACCCAATGACGCGGCCTGGACCGCAGCCCACAAGCTGATTGGCGTGCTCGGAGGCAAGCGCGGGCGGGGCGCCGTCCCCGCGAAGCAGTGTCAAATGGTGGGTAGAGGGCGCACCACTAAAGCACAGGCAGCTCGGAGGGGAGTGCGAGCAGTTAGGGCTGCAGGGGAGGGCTGGGCTGGCCACGGAGGAGAAAGATGAGCCTGATTCTCCGCTGGGCCCTTGGACAATCCCAGTGAGACCAGGAAGGGGCTGGGGCGGGCTGAGGGCCGAGACAGCAGCTGGAGAGGAGAAACTGGCCAGGAAGGCAGGGCGGCTCTTAATGGGGATATTTCCAAAATCCTGACCACAGCCCTATGAGATAGATACTATTGCCATCATGAGCACCAGCATCCTCTTTTACAGATAAACAAAGTGGGTTACTTAGTCACTGCCCCAGCACCCAAACAAGTAGCCGAACTGGGGATGAAAGCCAAGCACCAGGCCACCCTCCCTGCATACTGCTCTTCCATGGAAGGAAATCAGAGCGGAAAGGAAGCATTCTGGATTCAGAGGCAAGGGTTCGAGGGTCCATGGCTCCAGAACAATTAAGGAACATTCAGTGCCTATACCAGTTTAGTGTGTGCCTGCCCCCTCCCCCAGCTACTTTACTCAGGGGCTACATCTGGGCCAAGCTGGAGACAAGGGCACTCCTTTTCTGAGTGGTCATGGCTCCTCTCAGTGCCTATTACTGAGAGGAGCCATGGTAGATAGGTCAGATAGGTCCTACTGCCCTTTTCCAGCATCTATGGGGGCCTGAATTCAGGCTTTCAGAATGGCACTTTAATCATGGACCTTATCTACACTATTTCTGTTGTAGATATTACCAGATGGGGCTATTTTATACCTGAATTCAAGCAAATGTGCTGCTAGTGCATGGCCACACATTCTGGTTTGTCTGTGTTCTTGTCACAGCATTGTCTCATTCACTCCTCACAAAACTGTTTAAATGCACACACACAGAGATACTCAAAAGGGTAAACATTTACTATATGGCCCAGCAATTCCACTCCGAGGTTTGTACACACCTGAGAAGTGAAAATATATGGGGTGTCCCCCCAAAAATGTATACATACTATATATAACAGACGATAGCTCAATTTTGAAAATGAAATGTATTTTAATAAACACTGCCTTTATAATTATTCAAAGTGTGTGTATACATTTTTGGGGATACCCTATATATCATATATCCACAGACAGACTTAATGCAAATGTTCTTAGCATTACTCATGATAAACAAAAAGTGAAAACAACTCAAATGTCCATCATGTGATGAACAGATAAAATGTGGTCTATACAGAGGATGGACTATTCCATGGTCTTCAAAAGAAATCAAGTTCACCCTTGCTGGTTTGGCTCAGTGGTTAGAGTGTCAGCCCGCAGACTGAAGGGTCCTGGGTTTGATTCAGGCCAAGGGCATGTACCTCAGTTGCAGGCTCCATCCCTGGCATCGAGGCATGTTCTGGAGTGTTTCTCTCTCTCCCTCTCCCCCCCTCCCTCTCTCTCTTTCCCTTCTACTCTCTGAAAATCAATGGAAAAAATATCCTCAGATGAAGATTCAAAAAAAAAAAAAGTTGTCAAATATTATGTGGTTGAACCTCAAATGCATTATGCTGAGTGAAAAAGGCCACATACTATGATTCCATTCATATAAATGTCTAAATCCACAGAAAAAGAAAATAGATGAGTGATTGCCAGGGGCTCGGAAGGTGAATGGGGAGTGACTACTAAGTGGTGCAGGGTTTCTTTTTGGGGTAATGCAAATGTAAAACTGACCATGGCGATGTTCTCACAACTCTGAAATTACTAAAACCACTGAATTGCATATTGCATACTTTTAATGGGTGAAATTGTATGGAGCATGAGGTGGTTAAGTGAGGTAAAAATCTTTTTTGCTTATGTGCATCTTCTAAACTTTCTACAAGGACCCTTTATCAACCGTGATTTTTGCTAAAAAATCAACGGTTTGATATTTTTAATTTTTGTATTTGATATATTTGTATTAATTATATCAACTGTTTTACAAAAAATAAAATGTTTTGAAATCTTATAAAATAAGCACAATGAATATGCTAATTTTACAGGCCAGGAAACCAGCTCAGTGTTTTAAAAGGGCAGGAGCAGAATGAGTAGGTCCACAAGGGAAGACTCTGGAGTGTCAGGCCAGTTCTTCAGTCTTTACCTCACATTCCAGGACAAAGACCCCTGATGACCAGTTAATGAAGGCAATTAAAATAAGGACCATGACATACCAGACACATCCAGTCAATTTTAAATTTCGTTTTGAAGTTTGAACCCTCCTTTATCTGGCTGGTACTTTCTTTTTGTATTCTAGCCACATGATATATGTGCTTACAGCTGAAATAAGGAGTGGGCTCAGGGATGGCTTTTCAGGCCATACACTGTCCTCTAGTGGTGCATCTCCTGCTCAGTGCCCTTTCCTGGGTTTGCTGTTGGGGGACATGGATCTTTCTCTTTCTGGTTTAGATAGAAACTCTTTCCTTACTGAGGATTTTATCCAGGAGAAACCAAACCACATATACAAGGCACAAATGAAATAAAGCGGCTGCCTTTTGAATGCTTTATTAACTTTAACTAGTAGATGAATATAATTGAGCTAACAGTTTTCTCTGGTCACTGAGCAAATGAGACATTTGAGACCTCACAAAAGAGTGCAATGTGGAAACTAGAACTAGTTGTATCCTTTTTTCACAGACTAGTCACCTCAAGCAGCAGAGGACAATCTAAAAGCTTTCGCTGCTGCTCCATGCACCGTAAGAGGGGAGATGAAATTCCAGGGCATCTGCAGTCACACAGTACCCAGGAAGCTGCAGGTAGGATGGCAGCATATAAATGCTCAACCTGGGACAGCAGTATGCAGCATGGTGCTATTGTGCTGCAAAACCCAGGCGATCACAGTCCATAGTTCACATTTTCTTTACTTAGGAGGAAAATATACACATTTAAGAAATTGTTACCCTATGTTGATCCCCAGCCCAGATATCTGTAGTGTCATCATAAAACTTCATGTTAGCGGGCTGTTTTGTTAGCCATTCTGTCACTTAAAAACTTATAACCCACTTTAATTACTTAAAGATGAGAGTTACACTTGTATGGCTTAACTGGAAGGTAGTTAATCTGCTTTGCTTTTAAGAACAATGAACAAACAGTATAGATTTAAATGATGGTTTGTCAACAAGAATAAATGTAGAGATGCCAGCAGCTATTTTAGTTTGTTAACATACATTTCACAGCCACTATAATGTGTCTGGCACTAATTCCAAACATATCCAGGAGTTCACTTGACTTTCCACTCCGAGGAACTCCTTGCACTGCCAGCCCATGGACCAGGATGCCAGGCTCCATGGAAACAGCTGCACAGACAGCCTCCCAGATGCCACCTGGGGAAACAAGGGATGTTAGACTCTGTTCTGGAAGTGGCTAGTCAGCCTTAACACCCCATGATACACAGGCCTTTGTATTTCCTGGTTCCCAGGGAGAAAGATTTTTCACTAGTACTGATTCATGGAAGCAGTCATTCCCTGATTGGCCGGAAGAGTTCTCATTCTAACACCGCAGATTTCCAAATTGCTCCCAGCCCCAACTATAGTAGGAGCTCTCAACCAGGGCTTCATGGATACAGGGGACTGTGGAGCTCAGATACTCAGCGCTGTCAGGAACCCCAAAATGATTAAAATCAACAGATGAACTGTAAAGGAAAGAGCAACTGGCATGCCTGAGGCAACCAGCTTTGGAGGGGCCACTTGCAAGGTTAGCCTTCAGGTGGCACCTGGGCAGAGGGCTGGTGCAAGTCCCCTAGGACAACATGACGCTTTCCCTAATGATAACAGTGCTCCCTGTGCCTGGACTGTTTGCACGATAGGGTGATTTATTCAAAGCTCCTGCTTTCTTCTGGGAGCTGGGAAATTTGGTGTGTGTCTGGCACGGGGCTCACATGACCCTCAGTAAAACCCAGAATGCTGGGTATCAAGTAGGTTCCTTTGGTTTGCAGTGATGCATTTTTTGCTGCCGAAGAGGGGAGAGTACTTGGAAGGCCCCTCATGGGAGGGAGGGAGCGAGCCTAAGACATGGGGTTCTCCACCCAGATCCTTGCCCTTTCCCAGTAATAAATCTCAGCCATGAGGGCACTGGGAGTGCTTTCAGAGACTATCTGCAGATTACAGGTGTGCTTTCGGGACCCCTGACATGAAGCTCCTCATTCCCTTATCTGCCCCACTTAACCTTCCCAGGCCAAATACTGCCTAGCCCCCTTTCTCTGACGCATACTTTTTCTGCATTTGCTGTGTTCTCTGCTTGCAAGGCATTATTCCCGCTGTTGTTGTTGTTTTGGGGGAGGGGGCAAACTATTAATCATTCAAAACTCAAGAGCAACTGTGAAGCTCTTCATGAACCCTCCTGGCCCACAATGCTGAGTTAGACACTCCTTTGTGCTGCCATTGAGCCACCCAGGGACCAGGCACTCTGCATTGTGCTGGGACCACACAAATGAGTACTGGTACGGCCCCACCCTTAGGGAGCCAGTATAGGTTGGCAAGAAACTTCTAAGCTGGTATACTTGCTAAGAGCAGTAATAAAGGTTGTTGGGTAAGTAGTTGCCTGGAGGTGATGCCCAGGAGCACGGGGCACCTCCAATCCAGGAAAACACAGACACATTCTGCCAAAGCAGACTCTGAAAAGACATACCTTCTGGGTGGTGATCCTCCACTGTGATAATTCGGCCACCTGTGCATTTTGCATTGGAGATGATGGTGCTAGCATCCAGGGGTTTAACGGTAAACAAGTCAATGACGCGGATAGAAATATCTGGAGAAGAGCAATAACCAGCTTGGTATATGAAGCAGACTTAGAATAAAAAGACCAATTGGGGCACATGAGGCAGCCCAAGTTCTACCTCTCCCCGGCTGGAACTTCAACATTTAGCAACAAACTGACCTTGTTTGGAAAGATCATCAGCAGCTGTTAAGACTTCATGCAGAGTAACTCCAGCTCCAATAACTGTGACCTTGTCATTGACACTCTGGCGAATGACCTGGTATTGCACCCACAAAACAAAAATGCTGTGATTACTACGCTCAGAGCACATCTCAAAGTGGAAAACACTCTGCTATGCTGTTCTTCCCTGATCTTTTGCTCTTCCCCAATTTCACTCCTTAATTCACTATAAAAAAAGGCTGAGTCAATGCACTGAAAAATGACACACTTTTTGATAATCCCCTCTTCATATTTGTTTTACAAATTTGTCTACCTTTCCTCAAGATTTTTAGTACCAAATTACTAAGTTCTTATACAATACATATACAAAATGTCCCTTTAACAAAGAAAGTGGATATCAAACTGGGAGCTGAAAGGCAGAGGGCCAGAAGTGAGTTGTACAGCCTATGTACAGCAAGAGCACAGACTCATACCCACTGGGGGGTCTGGAAAGGCACCATCTCTGGACTGTTTGGACAACTTGCTGGGGTGAGCACACAGATTGAACTCCACTGATGAACATGTTAACACGGACCATTCTGGGGCTTTTGCTACATTCTCTGTGCCAAGCACCTTGCATGTACCAAGTGCTCTGTAACATCTGTGCATTAGTGGGCCCATTCTGCAGCCAAAGAAAGTGAATCTCAGAGCAGGGGGAACTTGCCCAGGGCTGAGGCTAGCAACCAGGCCTATGTGACATCAAACCCATGCTCTCAACCACTTGCTACTCTGCAAGCAAAGACAGGGGCTCTTGGTTTTTCTCACAGAGTTTGGTTTCCTTCAAAGCTCCCCAACCAAAGGCATCTGGAATTAATCTTCATTTCAACCATCTGTGTAAGTTTCCCTATAGCTTTAGAACCATTGCTGACAGTACAGATATTCAGGGTTTCTAAGCCATCCCATTCTCTGAGAATGTCCTAGCCTTTTCATTCATACACACTACCCTCCATATGTCCCTTTTGCAAAACTCAGCCCTTGAGTTATCCATGCCATGCATATCATCATACACATTTTAACTAACATCCTTTACCATTAGGAAATTTATTTTGTCAGGACAGGGCAAATATTAGGGGGGCAAAAGACAGGAGAGATTGAGCCAGAAACCTGCCCTGATAGGGAATTGAACCGTGACCTCCTGGTTCATGAGTTGATGCTCAACTACTGAGCCATGCTGGCCAGGCATGGCCTTGAGTTTAAATGTGGGAGTATACAGAGAACAACAGAACACTGAAGGTGAATACTGCAGCTTTTCCATTCAGTGTTGGCCAGCTACCTAGTGGCAGGCCATGGACTGTTCTGGATATACCAGCTTTATTATAGCACTAAAGCCACTCAGCGCTCAGACAGTCATTCTGAGCACTAGCAACTGTAAATTCTGGAGCAGCCTAGCTAGCCCTTTGCAATCAAGTAGGATGTCACCTGTTGCTCCTTCAAGAGTGGCTACTGGTCTTTCACATATTCAAGAAGAGTATTAATGACTTTCTAAAATGCTTATAAGAGTAGGGCATAACACTTTCCTATGCAGTATGATCTCTTGCTGTTCACTATGGTCCCTGAGCAAGCTGCTCACTTTCCCTGGTCCTCATCTACAAAACAGGGCTGCTACCTGGCCGAGAGTAGCTCAGCGGTTGAGCATTGACCTAAGATCCAGATCCAGGAGATTGCAGTTCGATTCTCGGTGAGAGCACATTCCCGGATTATGGGCTCTATCCCCAGTTGGGGGCGTGCGGGAGGCAGCTGATCAATAACTTTCTCATCACTGATCTTTCTTTCTCTCTCCCTCTCCCTGAAGTCAATAAATATATATTAACAAAAAAAGGGCTGCTAACAATCCATGCTTCTAGAGCTTTTACGAGAATGCAGGAGATATAAAGTGCCCAGAATGCTAGCCTTTAATAGCAGGTCTGCAGATGAGGCCATACCCAATGTGCAAAAACCATCTCAGGGCCACACAATGGCCAGCAGCAAGATGGTTCCTGTTCCCATTTGTTCCTGACCTCGGATATGGAAAACCAGAACCTCACAGATCTGTTATTCCTTTGAAATAATGGGTTCTATTATTTTGTTTAGCTTGAGGTTGTGATAAGTTATAGCTAAGCAACTCAAGTACCTTCAAGTTGTATTGCTTTATTTTTAAAAATTCAACAAAGAGAGATTCCATTTGGGAAGGAGAAAAGTTCAGTTCTAGCTGATATTGGTAGAATGTTCCTTCTGGAGGAAAAGCAGGCAAAGGTCACAACTGATTTTTTAAAAACTAGAAAAAAGAAAGGCTAAAGCCTTGACTGTGGGGATACCTAGTGCTAACTTTAGAATAGTTCCCTGCATGTGAAATGACACCAGACACTGGAGAACTTAAGGCCTTACCTTGGCCTGTCCAATCTCAAAAGTTTCTTGAGCGGTGTAAATAACGTCAGTTTCCGGTCGACTGGTCCGAATGTAGCATATCCCCTAGGGTATAAATGAAAAACAGTACTACTAGAAAGTCTAGCTGAATTTCCAACTAATAAACCTTTAAAAAAAGGTGGGGAGGGAGGAGGAGGACTGAATAGTTCCTTTTACTAAAATAAAGCACATATTTTGGAGCAAGGGATAAGCACCTACAACCACTGGCAAACAGGTGAGGTATCACCTGGTCAGGTTACTACTGAGCCAGGGAAAAGCTTTATGCAGGACCCTGGTGGATGCCCTGAGTGACAAGCTTTCCATGTTGTCACGTTCACTGATTTAAAAAAGCTTTCTCAAATACATAACAACCTGTTCTGTCCCCACAGAACATAAATTCAGGGAAGGAGCACTGGCTCGTGTTAAATAGAAAGGTCAGAACACAATGTTAAACAGGTAATTTTCCCCACAATAGCTTTTAATACTTCAACCTTAAAGATACCTTAAACATTGGAATATAAAATGATGCAATGTTTTCCCAGTGAGAAGATACACATTTTTATCAACTTGAACACATAAACAGAAGTATAAATACTCAAATGTTTAAAGTATTTAATACACATATTTCATACATTATAAACTAATATATTAATTTAAAAACATAGCTTCTGTTCATTCATTCCAATGTTATAAATCAATTCTTTCAGTGTTTTTATTGAAGTAAAATTTACCTCAGTGGAGTGCTCCACAAATTCTGACTAAGGTATACACCACATAACCATCACCTGAGTCCAGATTGCATTCATCTGCCCAGAAAGTTCCCTGTGCCTCGCTCCTGTCACTCTCCCATCCAAGCAACAATCTGTTCTGATTTCTGTCACCACAGCTTTGTTTTGCCTCTTTTGGACTTCCTAGAAATGGAATCCTCCAACACATATGAGATCACTCTGTATATGCACAGGCATAAAACAATTTCCAGGATATAGTAAGCAAAAAAGCAAGTATAGAACAATACATACAGTGTGAGCTCACTTAGGTTAAAAAAAAAAAAAAGTCAAAGAAACATGTCTCTAACATGTTGCAAATGCCTAGAACAGAACTTCCACAATCTACCCCAACTGCGCCCAGAGTCACCTGTACAGGGGCATGGGCTAGTGCAGGGCTGGATGGTGAGGAGAGTCTGGTAATAGTTGGAGTGATTGGAAAGGTGAAAGCTACATCCCCTAGATGCTCCTGCAGCTGTATTCCAGGCAAGGATTAGGTTATGTGTTTATCTGATGTCCTTGCGTGAGACTTCAGGAGGGGCAAGTGGGACAGAAGCCATACTCCTGCCCTTCTGCACTGTTTCTCAGGTCAGAGCCAGGCTGGGGACCCTGGGGTTTGTCTGCAGTGAAGTCCCACAGGCCACTCTCCAGCTTTCTGGATGTCACAAGGTGGTGGCATGGGGTGTGTCTAAGGCCAGCACCTGATAGCTCACTGCTGGAGCCCACTCCTTTGGCCCTGCCAAAAGCTCCCTGCCTCAGAGCCCCAGGCTCCCTCTTCTCACCAAGCCCTGCCTGATCTGGGCCATCAGGTGGTCAGGTGGTGTTTAGTGTCCCTCTGTACTGTTTGTCTTTAAATGTGGTCATGTTTTATGTGCTTAATCACCTTTTTGGGTAATGATTCTACAACCCAATTTTCTATAATAAATATCTATTACCTTTACACAGAAAAAACGGGAAAAATCCAAACATCAGTACCGAACTAGTAGCAGAGCTCAGTAACATTTTCTGTCTGAACCAGTATCCCCTAAAAATACCTTGGTATTGGCTGCCAGGAACACAGCATGCTCTGTTGAGACTGCATCACTTGGATAGAAAATGGTGCAGTTGGGAACTGCTCGGAACATGGCCAAATCCTCCAGGGCCATCTGGGAGGGTCCATCTTCACCTTAAAAACAAAGTCACAGCCCAACAAAAACATGAGCGAGAACAAGAAGCTAGGACCCCGTCCTCATATGGATAAGCAACAGCTCTTATTGACACGGGGGTGGGTGTGTAGTACAACTGTTAGCAGAGTGCTACAAAACTGTCCAATTCTTAGGTCGATATAATGCCTTATAATTATGAGCCATCACACGTCTATCTGCCTCGAGACAGCACTGTGACACTCCAGGTTTGGCTAACTGACCTTCTGGATCAACAAACCAATGATCTGTTCTTGGCCCTGACCCTTGCCAACCTCTGGAACTTGGTCACTGGGCACTTCTACTGCTGTCCAAGGTGACTTAATATGCTTCTCCCTGAGCACAGGTGGCTGAGTTGGCCCCATCAAGTCTCTGTCCCTGTTGCCTTCTCCTTATGAGGGTCCTCTCAGGCTCTGTCCTTCCTGCTCTGCTCTTCTATCCTCCCCATCGAGACTGGCAGGTTTGAGATTGAAGTGGTCTTAGTCATTTCTTAGGGCCTTCAAGGTACCTGAGCATAACATACCCTGGGGTGCTATTGTAACTAAGGGGGCCTTAGGGTTTGTTTGGGAACAGAGTTTCTGTATACCCAATGTGTACCAGGGTGGCCTACCTCTTCTAGCTAGGAAGGGGGCTGTCACTGTGCACACTGCCTTGCCTGGGATAACTGTCTAACCTCAGAATCCTAAGCTCTTCTGGGTTGGACCTAGAGCCACTTCTCCACCTACCTGACTTATTTTGAAACTTTCACTGTACCAATTCCCAGGTAAAGATCCCCAAATCCGTACCCAGGCCCTCTGCCCAGGCCAGCCCTGAAATGCTGTTGGCTTTCCTCTCTCCCCCTCCATCTGGCCCATCCAGAGGCTTTTTAGTCAGTCTAATTCTCCCAGGGAGTCCCAGAGAAAACTCCAAAATGTACCCTTCTAGCCCTCCCTTCCAGCATTCTAGCAGTAAATATAAGCTGTCACATCTACCTAGGGGTCCTGCCCTGCCACAGGTACATCAGGCACCTCCATCTTTCCTAAGTCCTCATTTCTGTCACTCATGACCATGATTCCCTGACATTTCCCAGGCAATTTTGGACTCCTCTATCTATCAGCAATCTAACTTCTTTCTTCAGACTTTTTCAGATTCACCCGTATTTTCTACCCACTGCTAATGCACACCGTATTTCAACCCTCTTCCTGGCTTCCCCATTACCCGTTGTTTCCATCTAGTTTGTCTTGTCAGATTAATGCCCTGAGAGTGACATCTTCCTTAACCTCACTCCCCAGCATCAGGATTCTCATGGCTTCTCATTCCATCCCGCCAGGCTTCTCTGCCCAGGCAAAGCCGTGGCAGTCTGTGCTCCTCACTTCCCTGTGTCATGACCACACCAAGAGCAGAAAGGGATTCTGTAAGGCTGGGGTGGCCCTATTCAGTGTATGGCTCGACATGTAAGAGGCACTCAGGACAGATGATTATTTCTCAATGACTACAAGAGCGGGCATTTTACAGTACTATCAAGAGATCCGCTCAAAAGTTACCTGGAGTATCTGGAGCTGTTAAAGCACAGTATGTTTTTGTAAAAAAAGTAGTTACAAATAACCAAATGTTATGAAACCCTACGTACACTGGTAATTCAACAGTTCAGATACTAATCTTTCTCTGTAAAGTAGAAAGGCTATCAAGATGATGGCATTGAGAACTCATACCAATGGATACACCGCAGTGGGACCCAATAAGGTTGATGTTAGTTTCAGAGATGGTTCCAATCCGGATCTGATCAAATGCTCGGGTCAAAAAGGCAGCAAAGGTGCTAACAAAAGCAATGGTCCGACCACGGATGGTGCATCCCAGCGCAACGCTCACCTGTTAACACCAAGAAAGTGAATCAGAACACCCCTGGACACAGCCCTCATCACCCCTAACTGCCCCCTTTTCCCCTGGATCCAGTGTAGAATACACTGTTCCCAGGATAACACCACTGCTCTGAACCCCCACCCACCTCACCATACCCCAGGCAAACCCCAAAACTGGCAAATCCACAGTGTTCTCTGAACAATGCCCAAAAACAGAGGAGTTGTGGTGCTGACCTGGCTCCTCAAATACAAAGAAGGAAAAGATCAGGACACTCACGGCCACCCTCTCAGTCCTCGTGGGTCTCCTTCCCATTCTCCTCTTCCCAAACCTTCTGCACATCTTTCTCCCTACCCCCTCACATGTGCCCTAACCTCAAACCTCCTGGGGAGTAAGAGGTAAACAATGGAGGCTCTGCCATCTGCACCCCGGCTGGCCTCTCCACTGTGCTGCTAGGAGACATGGTGGCCCTGCACCTACCTAAGGCCCACTCGCCATGCTGAATCTCGTCTTCTTCCTTTCTCAAGGGCATCTCCAACTATGCAATTATCCCTGCCCCTCCTATATTCAATCAGTTTCTCCCTTTCTCTTGGGTTCACTCTCCATTTGAGTATGTGCTATTTTCCATCTTCACTTTCCCATGTCCACCTTGTCCTCCCTCTCCAGAGACTGCCTTTCATCTTTGTTCTCCTTCACAACTTCTCTCACTGTTCCCACTCTCTGCTTGGTCTCCTTCTTCTTGGCTACCATCCCTATGAGGGACCTTGAAGGTGTCAAGTGCAAGAGTTTGCCTGACCTCCATTTGCACTGTATTTGACCTCTCAGCAGAATTCCACAGTACAACTCCTCTCCCCCACTGGATGCTGCACACCTGTTCCCCAAGGACACTGGACTGAGTCCTGGGGCTCGGTCACACCCTTTCTCATTTGCCCTCTCCACTGGGAACTCGCATGAGGTTGTCACCTGCAAAAGCCCCGTATGATTTGGCCCTTGGTGACCTTTCTGAACCAATTTCGTTCTATATTCACAATGCTTCTGCCACTGTGTCCCTTTTTCTGCTCCCCAAACATCTCAAATTTGAGCCTACCACAGAGATAGCCATGCCCCCTCTCAGATCTGTGCATGACTGACTCCTTGTCACTTAAGTCTCAGCTTAAATGCCACCTCTTCTGAGGCTTTCCCTGATTGGACTTAGTCACACTCTCACTAACCTATTTCACCATGGCACTGGATACTACCTGCTGGCTGCTTCTTTATTAGTTTTCTTCCAACTCTAGGAACACATCAGTAGGCACAGAGTATATGATTGGTGACTGAAGGGATCATCAATGAGTTGGGTAGCAAGCTTTTTGATAAGAGGCTCAGTTCAGAAAATTATGGACTGTACTTTTTTCCACTCAAAATGGAAATAGCTCAATAAGACTCACAGAAAAAATGTATATATTCCTTACAATTGTGATGACCTACTTTTACTGAACAGGGGGCCTTAAATTCCAACACGAACAGGGCCATGGAAGCACCGTGAGTGAATGAGCAGGCTAGTGGGAGGCAGGGACACAGCCCATCTAAATAGCTCCAGCTGACTGGTAGCAGGAGGGAATGCCATCTCAGTGTTGCCAGATTTTCCCATTCTTCAAGAGAATCCAGAAATTCAGATTCTATATAAAACCTGATTTTTAAAAGCTGGCAACTAATTAAAATATCTCTGGTGGTCATGTGAGACCTCCTGGCCCATAGTTTTCTGGCCAGTGCTGTTTTTGGCCTCTACAATGTGAAGACAGATGTGCATTGTCCTCTGTACTGACACAGAGTTTTAGAAGTCAAGGTGTTTACTAGCATTAACTTCTTTCTCTCTTTAAGAAGAGAGTGTTTGTGTGTGGGGGTGCACACCTAAAAGATACTCCCTATGTTAATATCACTCCAGGGAGAGATGAAGCACAGATAAGCAAACAGTTTTACCCAAGACCATAGCTCTATTGGCATTCTTGAGGCTGCAATTAGCACAACATTTGAGTATCTAGGATATATTAATTAGGTCCTGCACTACAGTGCAGAAAGAGAAATCACAGTCCCTTGTAGCTCTCTCAACCTACTGGCCTCTAGGTGATGGTAGGATTGCTTAATTGTGAGGACAGAAAGAGCAGAGCCACCCAGAGCTACAAGGGATCTCAGGATGTTTTGGGCTTAGAGCCCTGGGTCAGATGGCTGTGGTCTACCAGGACAGGGTGCTGGGCAGTCTACCATGCTCCTCCTAGCAGTCCTGGAAGTTATCCCTTAGACTCTGCCTGGCTACTCTCTACCCGTTTCCCTGAAGACATTTTTTTTCCCTCCAGTGCCTTTACTTTTATAAATGGAAAGAAAAACTTTAAGGTGGGTTGGGCCTCCTGTGTCCAGTGGGCCACTGTTAATCAATGAGAAGACCCAAGAAGGACACCCACAGCATACGCACCATGTTTTGCTCAGCAATAAAACACTCGATGAAGCGCTCAGGGTGCTCCTTCTTGAATATCTCGGAGAAGGTGGAGTTCTTGGTGTCACCGTCCAGCACAATGACTCTATCATTTGCATGGCCCAGCTTAGCCAGAGCCAAACCACATGCTTTGCGAGTAGCTACCTGAAAGAGTCAAACAGTAGAGTTTCTTAGAATGAATTTAGGAAGGTGATAATTTTGTAGAATTACAAATTGTCATCTATCTAATAAAGAAAGCAAATTTGTGATTCACAAGTAATCTCCTTTAGGGTCACAAAAATGGATTGCTAACAAATCCTAAATCCACATTTGGCTCAATGGTTATCAATTTCTCAAAAATAAGTTTATTCTTCTGTACCATTTGTATAGTTAATTCAAAATTTTAAATTTCCCTTGCCCTGGCCAGGTGGCTCAATTGGCTGGAGCATCATCCCATGCGCCAAAAAGGTTGTGGGTTTGATTCTTGGTCAGGGCACATACCAAGGTTACGGTTTCAATCCCTGGTCGGGGCACGTATGGGAGGCAATTCGGTCGATGTCCCTCTCTCTCCCCCTCCTACTCTCTCTAAAAATCAATAAAAACATATCCTGGGGTGAGGATGAAATTTTTTTTTAATTTCCCAAAATATAAATGTCTCTGTGACCTTTCAGCTATAAAACTGATAATACTGCAAAAATTAAAATGTAGAACTTTAGAATCCTGATACCAATAATAAGGAATTCCATTAGAATATGTTTGAGATTTGACTGAATTTATGAATGTAGAGGAGAACTGACATCTTTACAATATTTTTCTATTAAAAAACGAGGTTTGGCATTTCCTCAAAATGTTAAACATAGAATTATAATGTGACCCAGCAATTCTACTCCTAGGTGTATACCCAAGAGAATACTGTATCTATATAAAACTTGTATACCATGTTCAAAGCAGCATGATTCACAATAGTCAAAAGGTAGAAACAACTCAAATGTCCATCAATAGATTAATGGATAAATAAAAATGTATAGTATATCTATAAAATAGAGAACTGTACATGCCATAACATGGACAAATCTCAAGAACATTGTGCTAAGTGAAATAAGCCAGACACAAAAATTCACATATTATATGATCCCATTTCTATGAAATGTCTGAAATAGGCAAATCCAGAGAGAGGAAGTAGATTAGTGGTAATAAAGGGCTGGGTGGGAATGGACAGTTATTGCGAATGGGTAAAGGGTTACTTTTTTTGGGTAATGGAAATGTTATAATATTGAGTGTGGTGATGGCTATGCAATTCTGTCAATATGCTAAAAGCAAATGGGTGGATTATATAGTGAGTTATATCTCAATGAAGCTGTTATAAAAAAAAAAAAAAAAAAAGGTTTGCCTCTTCGTCTTTGTCATTCATCCAAACACAAAAATATTTTTAAAAAATAGGCAATTCATGTAGATGGTACAAAATTCAAATTATGAAAGGATGTCAAGTGAAGATGCCATCTTCTTCCTACTCTCCTATCCCCAAGCCACCCAGTTGCCCTTCCCAGAGGTAAGGGGAAATGATAGATTTTTATAGCATCTTTTTAAAAAAATTGGTATTTTGAAGGGGGGGGGGAGAGGGAGAGAGACAGACAGACAGACACATCGATTTTGTTGTTCCACTTATTTATGCATTCACTGGTTGTTTCTTGTATGTGCCCTGACTGGGGATTGAACCCACAGCCTTGGTGTATTGAGACAATGCTCTAACCAACTGAGCTACTGATTCAAGGCCTGCAGCATCCTTTCAGTATCCTATGCAGAAATACTTGGTGAGCAGATCATTATGTACAAGGCATATGGGCTTCCTTTAGAGCTACAGCTTTATAGCACCTTAATATATTGTATATTTGTTTATTTTTTTGGGTTTTTTTAAGTTTTTATTGCCACTTCTCCATTTTGTTAATATAAAATAGGACTTAATCCTTGTATATTAGTTTTGCTACAGGCTCTCTTACTACACTTTAGTTCTAACCATTTCTGGTTGATTCTCTTCAGTGTTCCAGACATACGACTCTATCACCTGTAAATGATGACAGGCTTGCCTTCTTGTCAGGACTGAGTCTTTTATTGTGTTAACTGCATTGGCTAGCACTTTCAGAGTGGAGCTGACTCTCTGTCAGGTTAATGAGATGTTTTTGCCATTAGGTATGAAAAGAGCTCCAGGTTTAAGATATCTAGATTGAGAATCAAACTGAAGCATTTTACTAGTCCTACTTTGTTTCACTAAGAGTTTTTTAAAATTGATCTTAAATTTTAAGATTTAAGAGTAGGGACAGGGAGAGAGAGACGTCGATCAGCTGCTTCCTGCATGCCCCGTATGGGGAATTGAGCCTGCAACCCAGGCATGGGTCCTGACTGGGAATCGGACAATCTTTCATTGTAGGAGATGACACTCAACCAACTGAGCAACACCGGCCAGAGCTAGCTTTGTCATGTTTTGGCTTCATAAATGAATTGGAATGATGTGTTTGACTTTCCCTGTATTTGAGAAGGTTTGAAATAGCCTAGGAGTTACTCAGTCCTTAAGGGTTAAAAATAAGCCACTTATAACTTGGTGAGCTGACTGGCGATTTGGAGGTGTAACTCTTGAACAGTTTTCTCAATTTTCCCTATTGCTGTTGATCTACTTAAGAGTTTTCCATCTTTTAAAGTCAATTATGGCATTTTATGTATTCCTAAAAAAATGGTCCATTTTTTTTTTACAGGTTTTTCATATCAATTACCATAGAGTTGTACACTTTATCATAATTTTTTCATTGTTTTCTGCATCTATGGTTATCTCCTCTAATGACTTGCGTACTATATTAGTAATTCAGATAGTTAACTCTTACATTTGTGTATTAATGCAATTTGTTTTTTTAATTCATTAATTTTTATGAACTGGTTTGCTTCCTTAATTTTTTTCCCCCATAAAATATACATACTTCTTTTAAAAAATGAAAAGTTCCCGTAATTCCACCTTTCAGAGAAAAACAGTTCAATTTGGTCATGGCTTACTCCATGCTCTTTTGCAACTTTAAAAAACTTTAATAATAATTTGGGTAAGCTCTTAACTTTTGCTATGTTGTTTCCAATTTTACCATCGTAATCAATGGTGCAATCAACATTCATTCTGATAGATATATCATCACACTTACAGGTATTTCTGTAGGACAAATTCCTGTGAGTTGCACAGCTAGTTTGAAGGGTCTCAACAGTTAAAACTCACATTACAATTTTAACCCATATTACTAGGCCAAGAAAACATAATCACCCCTCAGAAATTCCACAAATAAATAAGGAAAATAAAGAAAGGTCAGAAATATTTTCTTCCTCCCAGGCTCACCACCTTGTTTCCTAGGTCCTGAAGAACCCGCCTACTTTGGGTCTGCTATAATATACCCAGAAGGCAGGATATAAAAATGATTATAAAGAGATTAAAGATGGCGACGGACTGAGTGGAAGCTATGCTGACACTCTCCTGGGACCAAACTGGAATTACAACTAGAATATAGAAAAACCAACCTGAATAATCCCCATCAACTGCAACTGAAGTTGAGCTGGAGAGCACCCTCATCACCAAGGACGAAAAGTGGAGACCACATAGAGAATGGTGGGAAGTGCGGAGGCGTGAGAGGGCTGACTGGGCTCCCACAGGCAGCAGCTGAAAGCCCAGAGGGATATCTCAGCTGGCGGGTGTGTGTGTGTGTGTGTGTGTGGGTGTGTGTGTGTGTGGCGGGTGTGTGTGTGTGTGTGGGTGTGGGTGTGTGTGTGTGCGTGTGTGTGTGTGTGTGTGTGTGTCCCCCACTGAGGACTCTGGGGCCTAAACACNCTCAGTTGTGGGGGTGGGGTCCCACTGAGAACTCTGGGACCAAACTCTCAGGCTGGGTTTCCCAGCCAAAAGCACCAGAACTGAGAAAGGTGCCCACATAACATCTGGCTGTGAAAAGCAGCAGGGTTGCTATCGGCCAGGGAGAGATGGCTAGAAATGCAGGCACCCTCTTAAAGAGCCAACACACAAAGTTCCGNTTGTAACCCTGTCTCTTATACACATCTAGATGTGTATAAGAGACAGGCCACTCACCTTGGGCTCCAGCAGAGGGAAGGCAGAGTGGACTGGAGCTGTGTGAGGAGAATCTAGGGTTGTGGGCTCTGGAGATAGAGCTCAGAGGGCACACCTCTGGATACCTGTGTTAAGTCATTCCCCCATACTGCAGAGGACATCTTTCTCAGGCAGACATTTTGCCGCTTTTGCCTGGATTGGGGAAGTAATTGCCCCACCTTGCTAGAAAACCTCTCCTATACCCTAAGGAGTTTCTACAGCCTGAGGCTCATTAAGAGAATCAGATTAATCACCCTGCAGACAGAGGCAGACCTTAGAGTGTTTTGAGTCTTTGCTTGATCTGCTTCTGGACCCAGGCCTTGGAAAAGCAGACTTTGGTGTCCACCATGGTCCTGTCCAACTGCACCCAGCCCCAGCAGAGGAGACCTCAAGCCGAGGGTGGTTGATAGCCAATCACAAACTGCGTCTGACATTGGCCTGCACCAGAGTCCCTTCAAAAAGAATGAGAGTCCTAGCAGATATACCTAATGCATAGAAACAAACCCAAACAGGCAGCCAAAATGGGGAGACAAAAATACAAGCCCCAAATGGAAGAACAAGAGAAGTTTCCAGAAAAAGAGCTGAATGAAATGGAGATAAGCACCTATCAGATATAGATTTCAGAATACTGATTGTAAGGATGCTCAACAGCATAAAAAAAGATATGGAAGCCATGAAGGAAATTAAGAATGACATAGCA